ATTGCTCAAGTTTGTTTCTTAACATTTTAATTCAGGCAAAGACGATTTCAGGTATTCAGTTGAAATACATATTATATAGATAAAAAAAAAAAAAAAAAATAAATAAATAAATAAATAAAAATGTTAAATTATTTTTTTCATAATAATTTAAATATAAAATTATAATATAATAATTTCAATGAAAACTAAACTAAAGAAAAATTAATAAAACAAACAGGGGAAATTATTATTAATGATTTATATACTTATACAAAATCGTTTAGTTAAAAAATAATAATAATAATAAAAGAAAACATTAATTTAATTTAATTACAATAATTTAATTTTTCAATTTTGTGTATACTAGTTCAAAATTAATAGATAGTTTATATACTATATAAGCTTATCTTAAATCACGAGCTGAACTATAGCAAAGTAATATAAATAAAAATGTTAATAAATTTTATAAAAGTAACTAGCTTAAACTAGACCTAGTTTCACCTGTATATAAAAAGCACACTCTGAGCTCTTCATGAACTCATTATACAATACAAATACACTTCTGCTGAATCAATTTATGTGAATGTACTTTCTTCATTTTTCTAAGCTCTGCGCTGCGTTTGCAACTGAAAATCACGTGCTTCGTTCATATTGAACTAATTTATTTATCGCAAATTTGGAGCCAATCGTTAAGCTATGTATTTTATTTAGAAAATTTAAGTAAACTCTTTGATGGTGCGCTGCTGTTGGCGCCCCTCGAAGGATATCGTTATCAGGGAATGGAATTTCGTGTAACATGCACGCGAATGAAATAAAAATAATGAGCGGGGATATACAGGAAATTTGTAGGGAGTGGCTACAGCTAAGAGAGCACATAGCAACGTGGCTGCTGCTGCTGTTGCCTGTCACAGGCAGCAGGAGCAACAGCTACAACAGCAACAGCAACAATACGAGGAATTAACTCGCATGCTTGGCATAATAAACATAACGGCCCTGGATTCATCTTTGCAGCGTCTTTTCTCTCGCGTTTACTGTATTTTATTTTGCTGCTCCTTTTTTCCTTTTTTTGTTTGTGTTGTTGGCGGCTGCTCCTTTGACTGGATTTATTTGCGCTGCTTTCGCGTTGGCTGCTCGCATGGAGAGAAATTCTAGTATGTCGCCTTGGGGCGCGATTCTTTGGTTGTACATGTTAAGAAAATGGCAAAAACTTGTAGCCTTTACGACTCGACTCGACTCGAAAGCCACCAAAAATAAGAAAAGGAAAAATCGAAACCAAACCCAGCTGACTGCAGGAGCTGATGGCTGGTTGCACGGCCAACAAGCTCGCAATTAGTAGAGCGTTGCCTGCTCAAAAGGCTTTGCCGTTGCTGCTCCCAACTAATTGAGTGGCTGTGCGATGCTGTGGGCGACGCGGCGTATGAGCGATGCCTTCGTTTGCCTTGACTTGCTGTGCCCTGGCTTAAGCCTAACAAATTAAATTGTTGTATTGGGTTAGCCACTTAATGTGCCACACAATTTCGTCGCCTTCATATTTTTTTATACCCTGAACCCATTGAAAATGGGAAATCAGGGTATAATGGTTTTGTGAAAAGTATGTAACAGGCAGAAGGAATCATCTCAGACCCCATAAAGTATATATATTCTTGATCAGGACGACGAGCTGAGTCGATATAGCCCTGTCCGTCTGTCCGTCCGTCCGTCCGTCCGTCCGTCCGTCCGTCCCTCCGTCCGTCCGTCCGTATGAGCAAAAGGATCTCAGAAGATATAAGAGCTAGAGAGCTGAAATTTGGCATGCATACTCGTGTATACCATAGGCAGTACAAGTTTGCTTTATTTTTTCGATAACTTGTCCGATAACTTTTTTATTGAGAATAATCGAAAAATCGACATTGTTTTTTCAGCTTAATTTGAACACTTTTAGACCTGGAGACTTCAAATTTGCGTTGTATATAAAGTTAATAGATACAAAGATTTTGTAATTTACAGATTTTGGATACCACGCCCCCTTCGCCCCCAATTTGTAAAAAACGCATATCAAGTACTAGAGACTTGTGCTTTGGAATGTACACACATTTTAGCCATATGATTACGCTCTAAAAGTTTCATTAGGATCGTATGTTTACAAAAGAAATTATTCAACAAATAAATTCTCATAATTTTGCCCACATTGCAGTGCAGCCCAAGCGCGGTCGCTGCTAACTGCGCAGTCAGCAGAGCGCGTGATTATACGTGCGTGTGGATGCGTGTGTATGCATGTGTGCATAAAAGAAGTGCAGAATGAGTAGAATATCAGCTTGGAGGGTTCAGGGTATCTCCTAGTCGAGCAGTCTCGACTGGAGCCTTCTTACTTGTTTTCTTTGTTGTTGCGGTGGTTGCTGTGCCTCAATCGGTGGCTGTAAAACAGCTAATATGATGTCTGGCCAAGATTTCACTTTATTAATATGAGGGAAAAAGCCAATTATTTTTGGGGGCAATCAAAAATTGAGATAAAAGTCTTTCGTCTGGCGGCTAATCTGACTCTGCCATCACGTGGGTTAGGTTGCAAATTTAATTAAGAAAAAAGCAGAAATATGTTTTGGCTAATCAAGCCCAACAGAAAAAGTTTTAATGATAAATAAAATACTCATATACAAAAGTATACAGCTTGAAGATATGGAATCCAAGTCTATGGAAATGTATCACATTTCACCTACACCAAATACATACCACCTAGAGCAAATTCCTTACTCGTGTGAGCTATGCCCACGCAAAAAATGTCAACGACTTTGCTGTGAGACATTATATATAAATATCAGTCCCTTCGAAAGGAGTCTGTCTGCTCCAGTTCAACTGGATTCAGAATAAAGGCTTAGCCAAAATTCAATTCAAGTCTGCTTAATTATCTTCTTTCTTAATATACGAAAGCAGTTAGAGCTCTAGAAGAACGAGCATAGCACAGTGAGCAGTGGGAGAGTGATTGTAATGAGTATAATATGCTGGCTATCTTTACTTTACTCTACGAATGAATTGAAATTTAACTCATTCACATATTTTTTTCTCGGTTAATTTTTTAAAATTAATTATTAATTTAATTATTAATTTAAATTAATTATTAATTTTTTTTTTTTTTTTTTTAGTGTGTAAGTGTATTTAAAATCTGTCCAATTGGACAATCACAAGTAAGTAATAAGCGTGGCGTAAAAAAAAAGTCATTTGTTTGACTTTTTACATAAATTTTAATACATAAATCTATATTAATTAATCGGCTGCGTCATCTAACCAGTTTTAGCTTTAAATTTATAGAATATAATAAATGAAAATGTATACCTTTTACAGAAGTTGGCCCCGTGTACACAGCGAGGCATTCAATCAACGCCAGAAAAAGTCAACTTTAGTTTTGGCTGATATGAAATAACCTCCATTATTCATGCCACTCACACACACACACTCCCTCTGTCCCTTTCACAGAGTCTTTTGCTTGCTGTCTCTTTTCATCTATCACTCATTTTGAATTTCACGAAAAAAAGAGAAAACTTTCTGCTCAGTTGCCCTGTGGCTTTAAAAGAAAACAAGAAAACGAAAAGGTTTTTTATTTTTATTTTTATTTTGGTGAAGTTGTGAGTTTGGGTTTACGCGTCTGTCTGATTGTCTCACTGTCGCATTGTTGGCATTTACTCTGCTCTTTGTGTCTGTCTGGCAGCCATTTTGGCACAGCCGACAAGCTCACACAGCAAGGGAGAGAGAGAGTGAGAGAGAGCGAGAGAGCTGCCACTTGTGCGCTCTTGGCATGCTCATAAAATTTTATGATTTCGATCAAGTCGAGTGCGGAAATTATTAAGAGTCGAATCTGTTTCAACATCCTGTGCCGCACACTCTATAGGCTTTCTATATGGATGTGTGTGTGTGTGTGTCTGTTACAAAATTTCATATGACAGCTGCCAGAGGACTAAGTGCAAGTCAGCCTCAAAGGCAAGAAGCGATTGTGTGGAACAGAGAGCGAGCTATAGAGAGAAAAGAGCCCACGCACAAGCACATAAACTTCAATGGCCTACATTGCCGGCCCGCCCCACTCATTGTGCCCCTCGCTACACTCACACTCACACTCACACTTACACAGGCACAGACACTCTGCATGTGAAGTGCCCGCCATTTTAATTTATATTGTAGCTGTGTTAAAGTTCAAATATAATAAAAGAAAAACATTGCATGTGCCGCTTCGTTTGCTCATTTCACTTATTTTGCTCTCTTCTCTTTCATGTTTCTTTCTCGTTTCATCTCTGTTTCTTTTTTTTTATTAGTTTTTATTTTGACTGCCTGGCACTGTAAAGTGCGTTTTATCTTTTGGCAGGTGGCGCTCCCGTTCACTGTGCGGCGCTGGGGCATTTCTCTCACCAACTTTGCCAATGGCCAATTTCTTAGTGCTGCCAGTTTTTATGAACAAGTCGGCAATGAAATTTCCGTTTCCTGTGGCCGCCATTTCATTTACCGAACACTTTTACTTTCATGAAATGTTTCGGCCGAGTTACATTTTGTTGCCATTGTTTACGCACAGTTTGAGTTCTCACTACGATATAGACTATATATGTATATGTATATATATATGAAGTGTGTGATATGCTGTTCTATATGTCATTTGTGATAGCATCTATTGCCTCATAAAGGAAACGAAAGCTGTCTTGGCTTCATTTTTGCCGTATTGGTAAAGTGAGCTAAATGAAAAAAGAGTGTGAAGTCAGCCTGTGAAGTAAGAGGTACCCAAGTTAGAGTAGTAGCAAAATAAATTAGTTCCATCTATGGCATTATTCAAAGGCCTTAGAAAATGAAATGGGAACAGTAGCCAAAAAATGTTGAAGTTATTGACTTGTCTTTGGTTTCACTTTGAAGCTTCCACAGTATAAGAAATTTCTTTCCTAGCTTGACCAAAGAAGATTAGTGAAAAATTAAATTTCAATTAAACAGCGATTGTTGATATACATTTTTTTTTTTTTTTTTTTTTGTCAGAAATTGAAACCTTTATTATGCAAGCCAATTAAATGTATGCGTTTTAAAGATAAGTTTGAGTATATTTTTGCATTTTTTTTTAATATTGATTGTTTCAAATATTATTTTTGCAGCTCGCCGTATATTTGATAATGTTCAATAATAATGCTAAAGGTCTTTCAGCTCCTCAGGCATATCATTTTTCGGATGTTTATTCTCAAAATGTTGCTTGTAAGTCTTAGGATCTGGCATTTGCGATTTGCAGAGGACACAAACATATACGAGTGCTTTTTGTGCTGCTTTCTTTTGATCGTTGGCACTGTGGCCCTGCTGCTTTTTCATCTTCGCTTGTTTTTCAGCGGCCTTTGCTTGCGATTGTATTTTTTGATGACCGCGTGCCATGGCTGCAAAGCTGTTGACTAATAGTAAATTTAGCAGAAAAATGTACAGGATTTGTTATTGGATGTAGTTATTGACAAACATTTTTTTTTTTTTTTAATTCCTAGACTACGTATTTTCTGATACCCGAATTTATTGACACTTGCTAAGTGTAAATTTCCCCCTGTGTCTCGCTTTTGATGTCATGCTGAAACCATATATATTCCATTTATGACGATATAGCACATCATTTATAGCTAGACATTGCCTTTGGTGCGCATAGAGATCAATTTGCTATGACTCCTTGCCATATGTGCTTGCTGTAGCAGTTCTTTTTAATTTCTTATTCATCTACACAACTTTGCAAGACATAAACAATTCTTGAAAATATTGCATATGTTATAAATACTCATCAGCCATTAGAGCTTATTTTCGATTTACACGGAAATTCAAATAATCGAGAATTATCGAGAACGAATATTTTTTGAAGGAGATAGAAGTTTTTCGATTTATCTCGATTTATGATTTAGCAGGGTAAATATTTTAAACAGTTATTATAAATATGACACAGTTGAGTCTCGATAATTCGAAATGGTGAAGGAAAATAGATAAAATTTGTTTCGATTTATAGCGACTTTCGATTTAATGAGGTACAAATTATAAGGACTCGACCGTTTAATTTATTTAAACAGCCATTAGAAATATAATATCATTCCTGTCAACGCCTGTGTATAGAGTAGTAGATAGTCTTTGGGCAAATCAATCAAATTAGAAAATATTATTATACTATACAAATATCTTATTATATATTATCTCTATTTTTACTGTATATTTATATAGCGTAAAGCTAATACGCGCTTTCAACCAACGAGCCTCAACATACTCCATGCCACCAATGCGCCATCCACATCCATCATCTCTTCTCATCCAGCATGCAACATTAAATCTCTTTTGCTTCTCAATTTTCATATAATTCACATTGAGCCTAGATTAACTAATATATGATAATTAAATAATATGACGAGCACTTGCATTATTTTTAAATGCTCGTTATAAGCCATAAAGAAAACTTTTTCGTTTCGTTCAATCACTATCAATAATAATCTGTTTAAATTCTCCACAATTTAAAGGGAGTATGTGTATGTATGTATGTATGTATGTATGTGCTGCCATAGAGCTAACTGGCCTTAAATTAGGTTTGCCATTGGGGCACGAATCCCATTAAATCCAATTAGCGGTGGCAATTTTAAAGAGTCGCCTGGATTTGCCAGGCGCTGCCATCAAAAGGACATAAATAACTTTCGTTCGGGTTGCGCATGCATGAATCCCGGGCAGCTGCTCGATCCAAACAGGCGAACAACTGAGGCTTTAAAAATAGCAAAAGCGTTTCAAAAGGAGTGAGTCAACCAAAAAAGTGGAACAAGTTGTGACCGCTTCACGGCTTTGTGTTGGTTTTTGCTCAACCCTTAGAGTTCAGCCTTGCACTCCCCTTCCGCTCTCTTAACTGATGACCCGATACGCAACGCAAAGCCGACCCATAAATTTTGTGCGTGCCTTTAACGAGCGGCTGCTTACCCCGGCTCACCTGGCCTGTGGCCCGAATATTTAGTAAAATGACCGCAAAGTTATACATGTATATACATACATATATATGTATATATGTGTATATGTATATATGTGTATGTACATATTATAAATATTTATATATTATATATTTAAATAAAAAACATTTTCAAACAAACACGAGAAAATACCCCACGTACACTCACACACACACACACACATACACAGTGCAAAAAGTTTGCAGATAAGCATTGGAGCAGCTGTAAAAAGCGCATAAACATGCGTGTCGGGTCAGTTTGAACAAGTGGCTGAAAGTGGAGTTGACTCGCAGGCTGGCACCAAAAGTTGATAGCTTAGAACCATCTCCACCTACCACTCACCTCTGATAGCCTTGTGATGTGTGCACTTTTCCCTCACTGTTGTTGTTGTTGTTGTTGTTGTCGTCGTGCTACTTTGAAGGTACTTAGGACGTTTTGAATTTTTTATGAGCATTTTTCCTTGGTCATAATGTGCAGAGTGAATATTGAAATAAATGTGAGAGCTTTACTTTGTCTCGCTGTATGTGTGACAGTGTGCGTGTGTGTGTGTGCGTTTGTTTATAGCTATGACTTTATATTTTTACAAAGATTTGCATATCAACGTGTTTTGTTGATGCTTTTGATCGAATTTTAATTTGTTTTCCTTTATATTTTTTTCCCATAAAGACTTTGAGGACAAAACACTTTGGGAGCCTGAGTCTGGTAAGAATTTTTGAAAGTTTCGTCCGAGTTATGCTATAGAAAAGATAAAAAAAAAGAGCATGTCTATAAGATCACGACATGAAACACACCTAAACGAATTCTGAATTATAATTAAAAATTTTTATGTTTAGCTTAGTTTAGTTTAGTTTTATTGAATTTACCATACGATCTACTATCTATGCTATGATGTTTCATACGTTCGAAAAGTCATTCTCTCATATTTTCAACATTTCTAAAAATATACCAATTTATTTATTTTTTGTTTATTTATTTATGTATTTAAATATTTATTGATTTATTCATTTTATTTTTTTTTTTATTTTATTTTTTTATTTACATATTTACTTCTTTATCTATTTATTAATTAATTTATACATTTATTTCTGAATCTACTTGTTTATTTATTTTTGTATTTACTTCTGTTTTATTTTTTAGTTATTTGTTTAGTTACATTTATATATTACAATAATTTGTTTTATATATTTATTTTGTATTTATATTCCCTCTATGCCTTCTACAATATATCTCATCTATAGAGTATCTAGAATTCACTCAACTGCCTTCAAATTTAATATTTTGATTAATTGAATGGTTTATCGTTGCCGTTGCTACCTTCAGCATCTGCTGGCACCTCTGCTGTTTATATTTGGAGAGTGCGGCTAATGTTTGGCTGGCTAATGTTTACCTGTCATGTTTATAATACTCACTTTTATCCCATTAATAATGTTTGGCTTTTGGCTTTTGAGTTTTTAAAGTACATGCAATATTGATTGGATTTGCGGTCAGCATTTTGTTTGGGCCCCTTCGACTTTGAGGCCAGCTGCGTGTACATTATATAAATAATTTTTGGTTCGCTTCGGCTGTTTAAATAAATTTGACAGCTCATTTTGCATTTTTTTATGTGTTGGTAAAAAAAATTAAAAAATATCAAAAATTTGATATGAAAATGTTGCAGGGAATAGCCACGAGAGTTAAGTAAATGTAAATACCTTTTATCTTAACTAACGGCAGAGGCAGACTAATATTGATTAGAGATGATGTTAATGCCGAGTGGGGAAGTAGATGTTGGGTTTGAAAAATGTTATGAAAGTTTTTACTATGTGTTTAAATTATATTATATAATATATATACATTTGTCAAATATACAATAACATACAGACTACTTATATATTCATCTGTTATATAAATTCATTTAATTACATATTTAAAAAAATAAATAAATAAATAAATAAAACAATTCAAATTTGCATTTTGTCTTGAAAATCTTTTCAATTTTTGTCATATACATATTTTATTTATTTATTTATTTATTTATTTTTTTGTTCAGCTGCTGTTTATACTCATTTAATTTCGTGTAACTTTTAATTTATTGATCAACAACATTTTATGTCATTTATGTTTATTATATATTAAATTATATTGTCATATTCTTGCTGCTTGGCATTTGTCATAAAATTCTCGGTTGGCCCTTCAATCCTCATAATTGCCGCGAAATTCTATTAATGGATATGGCAAGCCATAAACAAAAATGTAATATTATTACATTTTCCTCCGTTATTTTCTTTCTTTTATATTATAATCATTTTACTGTTGCTGTTGTTGTTGTTATTGTAGCAGCCTTTGAGTTATGCATTGTTTCGCACATTTGGCGCTCCGATTTATTTTGTGGCTCTCATAAATTTAGCCTCGCGACGCGCATCGTCTGCTCGAGTCTGGCGGCCCGTGGCAGCACTCTGTCACGTGTTGCATGTAGCACGCACATGCACACACACACACACACACACACACACACAGACACGCATACTTGTTGGCACGCGGTTTTTGCCATACAGCAGTTGGAATATTATTCATTTTTATTATATTTTGTCGCCTTAACGACCATAAATTGCATTAAAAATGCTGTCATTGAATACGTCCTCAGATGTTAATGGAGGTGCAGGTGCAGGCAGCACCGAAAGGACAGTGAAGCTTGCTTAAATGTAAATACATACATATACGATATACATATATTCTTGTAATAAAGTTTATTTATATTTTATTGATTGTAAATCGCTTAAAAGAAAAATTATAAAACCCTCTCATAATTAGCTTAAACATGTATGAAAAATATTTGTCAGTTATATTGAAAATAAAAAGACTATAAAATAAAATGTTGAATATATTTTAAGTATCCACATTAAAATTATATAAAGCAGCTGAAAACTGAAGCAAATTACAGTTCATTGACAACTTATAAGCTCTATATCGATTCTTTGACAAGAGCAAATCATTTCATATACTTATTATTATTTCTAATTAAAGTGGGAGTTCCCAGATATTTCATCTATATCAATAGCTCGTTAAGAGAAAACATTTCAACATATTTTAAAAGTCTTTTTAAACCCCATAAAATATAAAATAGGTTTATTCTCCAAATATGATACATTCTCTCACATCAATAGAGATCTATGAAGACCCTAGCAGTCCATATCAATAACTCGTGGTTAAAGAATATTTAATTTAAAATAAAAACACACATACACAATTTTTTATGTAAATTGTACTTTTCGATATATCAAATAATAATACTGGATATTTATGATCCATTTCTTTTGTTTTCCCATAAAACAAATTGTTAATATTTTAATTATTATTATTTACTTTTTTTTATAAATATGCAGCAAATAGTATTTGAGGTAGCTTTACCATATACAGATGACGGGAGATGCCATCAAAGAAAAACATATGAAAACGTATGTGAAAAATACAAAAATTAAATAAAGCTATATTCAAATTTTCCAGCGTGTCGCATTTTGAGGGACTTTTACTTTTTTTTACTTTATAACCAAGTCACATAGCCGAACAATTTTTTTTATGGCTAATGGCTTTTCACGCAGCTGA